TGTGGTGTGTGTGGGGTGTGTGGTGTGTAAGTGTGTGTAAGTGTGTGTAAGTGTGTGTAAGTGTGTGTAAGTGTGTGTAAGTGTGTGTAAGTGTGTGCAAGTGTGTGTAAGTGTGTGTAAGTGTGTGTAAGTGTGTGTAAGTGTGTGTAAGTGTGTGTAAGTGTGTGTAAGTGTGTGTATGTGTGTGTAAGTGTGTGTAAGTGTGTGTAAGTGTGTGTAAGTGTGTGTAAGTGTGTGTAAGTGTGTGTAAGTGTGTGTAAGTGTGTGTGTGTAAGTGTGTGCGTGTGTGCGTGTGTGCGTGTGTGCGTGTGTGCGTGTGTGCGTGTGTGCGTGTGTGCGGGTGTGCGGGTGTGCGGGTGTGCGGGTGTGCGGGTGTGCGGGTGTGCGGGTGTGCGGGTGTGCGGGTGTGCGGGTGTGCCGGTGTGCGGGTGTGCGGGTGTGCGGGTGTGCGGGTGTGCGGGTGTGTCGTTGGGTTGGTGTGTGTGGTGTGTGGTGTGTGTGGTGGTTGTGGTGTTGGTGTGTTTGGTGTGTTGGGGGGGTGGTGTGTGTGGTGTGGTGTGGTGTGTGTGGGTGTTGGTGTGTGTGGGTGGGGTGTGGTGTGTGTGGTGTGTGTGTGGTGTGTGTGTGTGGGTGTGTGTGGTGTGTGTGGTGTGTTGGGTGTGTGGTGTGTGTGGTGTGTGTGGTAGTGGTGTGGTGTGTGTGTAAGTGTGTGTAAGTGTGTGTAAGTGTGTGTAAGTGTTGTATTGTGTGAAAGTGTGTGTAAGTGTGGTAAATGTGTGTAAAAAGTGTGTGTGTAAGTGGTGTGTGAGTGTGTGTGTGTGAGTGTGTGTGGTAAGTGTGTGGTGAAGTGTAGAAGTGTGTGTGAGTGTGTGTGAGTGTGTGTAAGTGTGTGTGAGTGTGTGTAAGTGTGTGTAAGTGTGTGTAAGTGTGTGTAAGTGTGTGTAAGTGTGTGTAAGTGTGTGTAAGTGTGCGTAAGTGTGTGTAAGTGTGTGTAAGTGTGTGTAAGTGTGTGTAAGTGTGTGTAAGTGTGTGTAAGTGTGTGTAAGTGTGTGTAAGTGTGTGTAAGTGTGTGTAAGTGTGTGTAAGTGTGTGTACGTGTGTGTAAGTGTGTGTAAGTGTGTGTGTAAGTGTGTGTAAGTGTGTGTAAGTGTGTGTAAGTGTGTGTAAGTGTGTGTAAGTGTGTGTAAGTGTGTGTAAGTGTGTGTAAGTGTGTGTAAGTGTGTGTAAGTGTGTGTAAGTGTGTGTAAGTGTGTGTAAGTGTGTGTAAGTGTGTGTAAGTGTGCGTAAGTGTGTGTAAGTGTGTGTAAGTGTGTGTAAGTGTGTGTAAGTGTGTGTAAGTGTGTGTAAGTGTGTGTAAGTGTGTGCAAGTGTGTGTAAGTGTGTGTAAGTGTGTGTAAGTGTGTGTAAGTGTGTGTAAGTGTGTGTAAGTGTGTGTAAGTGTGTGTAAGTGTGCGTAAGTGTGTGTGTAAGTGTGTGTAAGTGTGTGTAAGTGTGTGTAAGTGTGTGTAAGTGTGTGTAAGTGTGTGTAAGTGTGTGTAAGTGTGTGTAAGTGTGAGTAAGTGTGTGTAAGTGTGTGTAAGTGTGTGTAAGTGTGTGTAAGTGTGTGTAAGTGTGTGTAAGTGTGTGTATGTGTGTGTAAGTGTGTGTAAGTGTGTGTAAGTGTGTGTAAGTGTGTGTAAGTGTGTGTAAGTGTGTGTAAGTGTGTGTAAGTGTGTGTAAGTGTGTGTAAGTGTGTGTAAGTGTGTGTGTAAGTGTGTGTAAGTGTGTGTGTAAGTGTCTGTGTAAGTGTCTGTGTAAGTGTCTGTGTAAGTGTCTGTGTAAGTGTCTGTGTAAGTGTCTGTGTAAGTGTCTGTGTAAGTGTCTGTGTAAGTGTCTGTGTAAGTGTCTGTGTAAGTGTCTGTGTAAGTGTCTGTGTAAGTGTCTGTGTAAGTGTCTGTGTAAGTGTCTGTGTAAGTGTCTGTGTAAGTGTCTGTGTAAGTGTCTGTGTAAGTGTCTGTGTAAGTGTCTGTGTAAGTGTCTGTGTAAGTGTCTGTGTAAGTGTCTGTGTAAGTGTCTGTGTGAGTGTCTGTGTAAGTGTGTGTGTAAGTGTGTGTAAGTGTCTGTGTAAGTGTCTGTGTAAGTGTCTGTGTAAGTGTCTGTGTAAGTGTCTGTGTAAGTGTCTGTGTAAGTGTCTGTGTAAGTGTCTGTGTAAGTGTCTGTGTAAGTGTGTGTAAGTGTGTGTAAGTGTGTGTAAGTGTGTGTGTAAGTGTGTGTAAGTGTGTGTAAGTGTGTGTGTAAGTGTGTGTGTGTAAGTGTGTAAGTGTGTAAGTGTGTAAGTGTGTAAGTGTAAGTGTAAGTGTAAGTGTAAGTGTAAGTGTAAGTGTAAGTGTAAGTGTAAGTGTAAGTGTAAGTGTAAGTGTAAGTGTAAGTGTAAGTGTAAGTGTATGTGTAAGTGTAAGTGTAAGTGTAAGTGTAAGTGTAAGTGTAAGTGTAAGTGTAAGTGTAAGTGTAAGTGTAAGTGTAAGTGTAAGTGTAAGTGTAAGTGTAAGTGTAAGTGTAAGTGTAAGTGTAAGTGTAAGTGTAAGTGTAAGTGTGTGTGTGTGTGTTTGTAAGTGCGTGTGGAAGTGTGTGTGTGTGTGTAAGTGTGTGTGAGTGCGTGTAAGTGTGTAAGTGTGTGTGTAAGTGTGCGTGTGTCTGTGTGTGTGTGTCTGTGTGTGTGTGTCTCTGTGTGTGTCTGTATATCTGTCTGTGTGTGTGTGTGTCTGTGTGTCTGTCTGTGTGTGTGTGTGTGTGTCTGTGTTTATGTGTGCGCAGATACACAATGTATGTCTAACGTGTATGTAGTGCATGGTGTATGCAGTTACGTATGTGTATGTATATGTGTCTATGTGCGTGTGTATGTATATACAAATAATATATATATATATGAGAGAATGTATATGAGTATGTATGTATGTACATACGTGCGTATCTATACACGTCCGTCCATTCACACGTACGTGCGTGTGTGTGTGTTACTGCTTATGTTGTGCTATGTTAGGATACCTTACTTTATCTTTCGTTGTGCTTTGTTGTATGTATGCATGCATGCATGACCGCACGTACATATGTATGTATGTTAGTAGGTAATGCTATGATATGCTATGCTCTGCTTTGCTTTACTATGCAAGGCAACGTGATATAATGTAACGTATGTGTGTATGTGTGTCTGCCGGTCCCTCCGTCCGTATGTATGTGTGTGTGTTCATGTGTGTGTGTGTGTGTGTGTGTGTGTGTGCCTGCCTGCCTGCCTGCCTGCCTGCCTGCCTGCCTGCCTGCCTGCCTGCCTGCCTGCCTGCCTGCCTGCCTGCCTGCCTGCCTGCCTGCCTGCCTGCCTGTCTCTGTCTGGGTTCCTCCACTTTTCAGGGTGTGTCTAAAACGAGCTTTGCCCCCCAAATGGCTGGCGTCCTTCTGGTGTCCCTATCAAAGCCCCCAAAGGCCCCTGTCAGAGCATGGATGGCCTGCAGCTGGAGCTCGGCCTTCAGCCCAGGATTCAGCTTGCCTCACGTGCGTCACAGCTTCCGGCTCCAAATTGGTACCAACACAGAAGAGGCTTGCTGGTGCAAGAAAGAAGGGAATGAGACATGGAATGACACCCATAAACCATCCCCCATGGTTTCCTCTAAGGGAATCCCAAAACGGTTCATTCCCTCATAGCACCAGCAAGGTGGTTTGTGACCAAGGCCCAATGCTGTCAAACCGAATGTCAGATTGCATTCCATGCTATCCAAGAATCTGAAAGATCCAGGGGCGGCAAGTGCCGGGCCAGCAAGCGTGAGAAGCAAAGCAGCAGTCGCCATAGTAGGTTCCTTTGAGAGACTCTGAGAGGGGCTGAGACTCTAAGAGGGGCTGCGGGCTCCGACTTTCTTGCAAATGAATCCTGTTGAATCCCCCAACCTTTCGCGACCTTTCGCGCCACCTCCCTCCCCTCCGCCCCGGTCATTTTCGGCAACCCCCTCCATGTGCAATACTGATTGTCAGCCTCCCTTCAGATACCCATGGTGGGGGGCATCTCATGCTTCGCGCGGCACGCAGCGCAAAACAAACCCCAAGCCCGACTCTTGCAAGGGTATATGTCAGCAACATGACATCACGACAGCGTGATAGCCCACCTTTTTCCACTCTGCGGGAAAGGGTCTGAGGATGAGTCTAGGATTCCATGCGAATCCTCAGGGTATGGCTTCGAAACCAATCTGAATGGAGGCTCGGCTGTATTAAAAGTAGCCCGGTGGCGCAATCAGCAGCCACAGACAAATCGAACTTACAGCATGCGGTACTCAAATAGACCAAAAGAGAGCCGTGGACATGAAATACCCAAGTAGGACAAGAAAACCGGCAGCAATCTATGGAGGAACATCTTTGCAGCATTAGCTGTTGGCCCAAATGTCAAACAGTCATGCATCGGTTGCTTGGAAAGCTGTACACGCCAAGCCTGGAATTGGCCACGACCATTATTGCCATTCTCCAAGACATTTTGCCAAGCGGTTGGTTCCAACAGGGGTTCTACATCATTTCTTTGGTCTGGAGGAAAGGTTCAATTTTAAGAAGCCTCGCCCAACACCCACTTTCAACTGGAGATGGCCAAGATGGGGGCCCAACGACTGCGCTTTTGGCGGTCAAAAACGATCGCGCTCCTTTTCAAAGCGGCGAGCCACCAGCGCGGTCCCATCCCAAAATTCAGTTGGCCCGGACGTGAGTCACCGGCCGAAAATGAAAGGTCGGCGTTCGTCACCTCCTGCTTTCAGGATGCACGCCATGCGGGCTCCCCGCAACATCGGAAAGCCGAATCGGAGCAATCCGCTCAATTTCCATGGAAGTTTCCAAGGGGCCAAGACAACCCTCTGGGTGGGGCAAAAGATGGTTTAAACACCACCTTTATCAGGGAAGAATCATCATAACCAGTGGTTTAAACATGTTTAAACCAATGGGTGGCCCCACCCTAACAAGCCTCCTGCCAGCTTCCATGATACAGAGACGGCCTCTCAAACTGGCATATCTTCTGCTTCCTCTGGCTGTGCCTTGGCCTGACGCAAATGTGCGATTCTCAACATATGGCAATGGTCAGAGGGCCCCTGGTTGGGCTTTCGCGTCCCCCGTGTCCCTGGTAACAAATTCCAGCGCCGGGGGGAGGGTCTTCTTTTCAGCCCAAAAAGTGCCACAATGACTCCGGCGGAAAGACCCTGCTTGCAACAGCACGTGGTTGTTTTGCGGTTGCACCAATTTCGGACAGCTCGGTTTTGGTGCACCATCTCAAAGAAACACGAGACTTTTCCTTCCTTCTTCGTGTCTGGCTGAACACTGACCAGCCAACCCAGGCACAAATGGCCTTGGGTCAAAATCCAAATCGTACCCCCACTAAACATCCCAATGCCCACTAAAATAGGTTCTAAAATGGGAGGTGCACCTGTCCCAAAATGGTACCCTTGGTTTTGACCCACGGCCAAAGCAAAAACCAACTCCCCGGCCTTCGCGCTCTTGGCTTTGCCCTCCGCCACGTCCGCATTGTGCGGCGTGCCGGTGCCTCAGGTGCCACGACAAAACACATCACGCTGTGATTTTGTTGATGCAAACGCGGATGTTGAAAACCCAAGCCTCTTAGGGGAAATATAGTGAACCCTGAAGGATGCTACTCCAAGACAGTATGGATTTCAGATGAGGGATGTCAAGGCAAAAGGACATGCGATCCACATCTGACAGAGGGTCTATTGAAGTCTTTTGTAAGGAACACTCTGCTCTGCCTTGCCGCCACGCAGCAGGGCTTGCCAATCACGAGCTCCGAGTCTTGCTGCCACTTCATCAAAGGCTTTTGGCCTAACACAACCCAAACCCCGCCCCGAGGTTCCTGGCCCCGAATCCCCCACCCCAAGCCTTTTGACACAGATCTTTCCTTCGAAGATTGGCATGCCTCATTTGACGCAAAGAAACACACAGTGGACCCCAAATCAATCAACTGATAATCAACCCATCCTACCACTGGCAGGCTGTATCCCTCCAAAAGTGGCCTGAATCTCCACTAAACCAGGAAGACCCCGCCATGCACAAACAGGGGTGTATTAATCCGGGGACTGGTTCACGGTTAAAAAAAAGAAAACACCTTGCAGTGAAAAAGGCTGCAACCCTGTCTTTGTCACAGCCAGGGCTGAATGCACATGGCCAAGACACGGTTGCTCCAAGCTCCGCCCAGCACCACCAGCACAACGCAGCAGGAGCCGCACAGCAACACACCCGCCTCGGGTTCGCAAGGTGCGTTGCGTTGGCCTTTGCTGGGCTGCCCGTTTTCAGATCCCCTGCTAAAAGCGAATAACTTTTAGTGGGTGAAATGGAACCACTAAATCGTAGAAGCCAAAAGAAGCTAAGGAACCGGACGGCTGGGCACCACCCGGCTGTTTGAGCGTTTCTCGTTGGGGGGAGTAGGGTGTCCCGCCCCAAACATGCCTCACTTGAACGAGGTCCCGAAATTCGACCGAGTCTCAGCCCGAATTCTGCCGCCATTCTGCTTTCGCTGTCAAAGCCGACCCCGTCCTGAAAAAGACTTGCGGCCTGGGTGCCATCATGCCCCAGAAGACGGTCTCAGAGCTGGCTTGCTGCAACCAGCTCGGGGCCACGGGACAGCTGCTGGAGTCGAAGTTGGTGTTGGCCTGACGGCGAAAATTCGTCGCACCCATCGGTGCCGGATATGAAGTGCTGCGACCCGCATGTAACACATGGCCCATGTCCCCGCCCGCAAAAAGCAAAAGAAAACACTGCAGCCAACTGTTCCAAGATCCAGTCATTGCTCGTTGCAACATGTTTTGTCTTCCTGTGCTTCTTTACCACTTCAAACATAGCCTGCTGCTAAGAATTTGTTTGCGACAAATCAATAAAGAAGACCGTGTACACCCAAAAACAAAAAATTCTCCCTTCATGCGCTTAATGGTCCCTTCATCGCGGTGTGCGAGTCGCAATATGCAGGCAGCGTTTGGGATATTGGGAAACGGGCCGCGCAGCGAAACTGTGGGGAAACCCCAACCGTCTTTCCATCCTGTTGGGGCGCGAGAGCGCACTGGTTTGCCACCGTCGAGGAGCTAAGACGTGGAAAGGGGCCAGCCAATCGGCATCCAAAGCAGGCGGCGCGCTTGTATTGGACTACAATATGCCAAAAGTTGCATTCCCAATGTCATTCTTCAAGTTGAATGCATTCGTAAACAAGGCTAGAAAAACTCGCCCGGTGACATTCATCGTATTCTTCTTGGTATGTGCCACATGCAGCTTTCCAACGCACATGTGAAGATTGGCCGCTTCTAGCGGAGACCACTTTTGGAGGGAACAACCCCCTAAGAATAGGAGGGGGTTCTCTTCCTTGCCAGTTCTCAGCAGAAAATAAAATGAAAAAATGGGATGACCCCTTACAAAAACCACATGGGTATGGGTCAAAAATTAAGCACCAGGGGACCGCAGGGTTTAGTCCTTGGTTCCATTTACCAGGGCAAGCCATTTTGGGTAGCTATTTCTGACCCACAGCCACATGGTTTCCCTTCCAGGGAATCCCCCCAAATCCCACCACCCCTTATAAAAACCACATGGCTTCCTTCCAGGGAATCCCCCAAAACCGGGCTCAACCCCCACCACCCTCCCTCCCTTCGGCCACCACCCGCCCGCCCCGCTCACAAAGCCCGCCGCAGCCGCTCCCCGCTCGCCTCGAAGACGGAGAGCGCTCCCCGCGTCGCCTCCACGGTGAGCTCCAAGTGCGCCTGCCGGGCGAAAACTTCGCCGCCGGGCCTCCCACGGGCCTCCAGAGTTTTCAAAGGCTAGAAGAAGTGGGCGCTGGAGACTTTTTTTCGGCTTGGTCGAAGTTAGGAGGGGAACCCAAAACCCCGAAAAAAAACGGGGAAAAGTTGGCACTACTGGGGGACCCAAGGTTGATCAAGAAACCCCAGAAATTGGCGACGATCCGGGGGAACCTTCTTTTATTGGCAAAGGAAGCTGAAGGCTGATCAGGGAAGCCTGTTGAATTGGCAAAGCTGGAGACAAATTTCCCTCTGAATGGCCCTTTCGAGGCGGTTCTTAATACCTCATGTTTGTTGATCGGGGATAACGTGATACCCTAAAACAGCGGGTATTTCGCGTGGGGGGTTGAGTGACTGTAATTTGAATTCAAGGATCCCAATTAGAAGCCAAGGCGGCAAGTGGTTCAGCCTTCTGGCAGGTGTGCGCCAGGGCCTGGGGGGAGAAGTTGGGGGGATAGGGGAGGGTGTTTAACTTTCCGTTCGCTGGGTGAAGCTGGTAAATCCTCCAATTGAGTGAAAATCAACACCTCCTATTAACATGGACAATGTAAGAACCCTTCAATCAGAGCTTCTTTGAAGTATGGCTGAGGGCTGACCACTTGAGCGTGAGCCACAATCAAAACCCGGGTAGATGAAGGTTAGTAAGGGACGATCCCAGCCACAAATAGCTGCGGATATCCGCCTTCTTAGTTCTTTACATGGTTCTGGGTAGACCATTTTGATACCGGGTTTTGATTATGACTTACGTAGATGGAGTGAGGGACAGTCCCAAACAACCGGTGCGGAAGTCCGCCCTTTTGATCCTTTGCCACGGGGTGGCCCGGCTATAACCTGGCCCCCGGTATTTCTCAGGCGATTCGGACCAACCCAAAGTCCGCCTGTTTCGCGGGGGGGGGTCTGTTTTCACCCCTTTTTTGGTAGGCTTAAAGGGAAACCACAAGCACAACCACGGGCCACGGGCCCTAAACAAGGGCACGCCCATTTCAGAAGCTGGGTACATGTGTGTGTGTGTGTGGGTCCAAATTAAACCACTGCAAATCCGCAGGTGTTGGTCTGTGTTTTCACTTGCCAGAGATCCATTTGGGCACCGATTTTTGATCCACAGCCATTTGGGTATGGCTCAAAAAACCGGTACCAAAATGGAACCCTGGTAAGTGGAAACATGGACCAAAACCTGCGTAACCCTAGCTCTTAAATTTTGACCCACAGCCAGTTGCGGTTTTGCCTTCTCAACGTCCCCGCAGGCCAGCAGAGCAAAGTGCCAGTCCCTCTGCTCGCCATGCACGATGCGAACCGGGAACCAGAAGTACGAGATCTGCCTGCCTCATGGGACACCCCCGGTAAACTGAACCCAATGGCGGCTGCTTTACCTGGACAACAGAAGGGATGACATCATCTACATGACTCAAAACTACGGATAGCTGCGCATGGATTCAAATTCTTCCCATTCAACCCGTGCTTCCAAGTCTACGCACCATCTCACCTCGAAACTGCCAGCAATCTGAGGGAGGAAAAACAAAAAGAAAGGGGGCTCATCCAAAAGGAAAACTGTTGGGTTTTTGGGGATCTGTGTTAATCAGGGATATGCTTGAACAGCAGCCGGCACACACACAAAAACCAGCGTCGTCGGAAAAGTCTGCTGCAAGATGACACAAATGTGGCTCGTCTTGTTTGAAGCTGCCCCCTTCTCTGTGTTCTTAAAGGAAAACCAACGGCAAAGCCACCATTTTGAGGGTCTAAAGAATGACACCCCCAGAAAAAGCTCAGCTAGATGCGGGCAAAGGCACTGTATTCGCCTTGGTTCGACCGATCGGCACGAGGCTCGACTATGGATGGGGCCCACTGAACCAAAACCCTCCTCATTTTACAGCGGCTAGATAGTAGTTGTCCCCCAAACCAGAAGGGGCGAGGGTGGCTCCACCCTCACGGAGACCAAACATGACTGTCACATTCTCTATGATGGAGGGGCGGCTTAGCTGGATAAATACGATGAATCCGCAAGGCTTCCATAGCAACAGGACATCCGAGCTACCACAAGGGCTTCTAACACAAAATGGGCGTCTTTTTGAGGGTACAGCCTTTTTGAGTGGTACAGGAGAACCACGGGAAAACCGCAACTTACAGTTTCTATGTCTACAAATGTATGTCTTGTTTATTTTGGGGGGGTCTTCGTCGCCTGAAAAGAGACACCCCAAATGGTTCTCGCTTTTTGTTGGTTTCCCGGCACAGAACTCCTGGCCCGGTGCCCAGCAACCCCCGCGCAAGCGGCCGGCGACCACAGGCGAGGCGCCGAGACGTCGGGTGTCGGAAGCCAGCGCCATCTTCTCTTGGCACGAGCTTGAGGCCCATCTCTCCTGGGCAAGGTGCAGCTGAACTCCGCCGCTGCAAAACTCCCAAAAGATCAGCCCACTCTGGATATGAGTTGTGAAACAGGGAACCATCTCAGAAGTGGCTGGTGGACGTCCACCAAAATCGAAAATTTACATTGAGGTTCCTTTCTCTGCCCCCAAAGCGTCCTCATCCCTCACCCCAACCAGGCCTCCCTCCCCGCCTGCGCGGCCTGCCAGGCCTTGTGCCCCTCGAAGCCGGCCAAATACACCGGGCCCATCTCCCCCAGCGCCTGGCGGCCTGCCGCTCGATCCGCTCGATCCGCTCGATCCGCGCGATCCGCTCGATCCGTCCGCCGCTCGATCCGCTCGATCCGCTCGATCCGCGCGATCCGCTCGATCCGTCCGCCGCTCGATCCGCTCGATCCGCTCGATCCGCGCGATCCGCTCGATCCGTCCGCCGGTCGATCCGCTCGATCCGCTCGATCCGCGCGATCCGCTCGATCCGTCCGCCGGTCGATCCGCTCGATCCGCGATCCGCGCGTGTGTCCCGTGAGCGAAGAAACGACCCGGGAGCTGAAGGGAAAGGCAAAACGCGCGTGCGAGGTCTCGAAGGCCCAAAGAACATGGGGGGGGTGATCAATATTCCGCTTGGCCACCAGATGAGCGTGGGTAACTTGGCCTGTTGAGTGGTTGGAATATCAGCTTTTGAGTGGCTTCTCTGCAGTGATCCTATGTATCACGGACCTTTTCATCAACCTCCGCATTCGCCTCACCCCTAAATGGCGGTTTGGTTTGGTGGTTCGGACCTTAGGCGGCACCTTCCCCATTGGTTTCAAAAGGGCTTCAAATCCCTAAACCACCAATCTAAACCACCAATTCAGGGGAAGCTGAAGAACATGTTCTATGGAAAAAAATGTTCAATACTAAAATTCCCAGCCACCACCAATTCAGGGGAAACTGAAGAACATGTTTTACGGAGAAGACAACCAAAACCAACAAGCAGGCACTGCCTCACCCATTCGGCTCGCGGCTCGCGGCCTCCAGGCCCTTCCAAGCCCCCCCCCCCACCCCCGGCCTTGCCAACGAACGTGGACTGCGAGCCGGCCCGCCTACGAAGAGGCCACCCAAAAAAACATCACGGGAACTGGGTGTAGCTCAAACATGAAGGGTCCAAAATGGAACCCTGGCAAATAGAAAGATTGGCTAAAACCTGGCACAAGGGCAATGACTGGAAGAAGACTTTCCAACAAGCCAAGGTCGAAGTCACTTTGGGTCCTTTGATTCCCCCTTCCTTGAAGGACAGGAAATCGCAGGGTCCAAGAAATCCATTGCATCCCCAGTTTGGACAACCCTCAAATGAAGAACCCGAACTTGAACCTCGCTTGAGGCCTGTCACAAAATACTCGCTCACACAAAAGATACCCGAAACGCACGCGCACACACACACACAGAAGACGGTATACTGGGTGCAAATGACTTGTGATTCATGGGTCAAGGGGATATACACAATTGAGCATGTGTTCGCATGATGACTTGGGAGTAAACTGCACCCTGGTTGCAAAGACACGAGAGTTGGGACTCGCACAAAGTTTGGGTTGGCATCTACACTCGGCAGGTCAATGCTCATCACTATCTGCTCGCACAAGCTGCTGGTGAGATCCAACCAATGCTTCAAAGGGAACACGTAGGAACTCGCCAGGTCTCAACGCACATCGCCAGGCAAAAGGCGCAGGCGCAGGGCCGTTAGTGGCCCATTTGACGGACACTCTTGGTGCTCTGAGGCTTTGGGGCTGTGTGCAAGGTCTCAGAAAGTGGGGGGAGATCACCTCCGTTTGATCTTGTCTCTGACAGAAATGGGAAAGATCAAGCTATGTGAGTAGCGGACAAAATTGCTCTCCGCAAAACGACAAGGGAAGATTGGGGGTTGGGTCCCCTGGTTTTGTACGTACTTGAGATGGTGACTTATGTGCTCCCCAACCAACAGTAGACTACCAAAACATTGTCAGTGACTCATGGCGAAGTTAGCAACAAAATATCGGAACCCTCTGGAAGTGACTGAAATCAATCCTCATACCATATGGAAAAACTTGGGGCGAATTGACTGTTTCAAAAGCAAGTCCTCGTCACCTCCAGGGGGCCCGCAATAGTGGGGGGGGGGCTTATCCCTCGATAAGCTAACAAGCCAAGCATAAGCCTCATGGGGCTTGATCAATCAAATGGTCCTTTCCATGAGATGGCCATTCGGGAATCCACCCAAAATGACGACTTCCACCACACGAGAAAATTTGCCCATGGTCATGTTGGGGCCGAACGGAATACTGATCAACCCCCATATAAGCAAAGCTCTCAGGGCTTCATACTTCCCCCCCCCTTGCCATTGCCCAGCCCCTAAGACGGAAGACCGAAACTGGAGGTGTGCTTGGAAAGTGCTATGGTGGATGCTCGCTTGCAAGCCATCAAGCCCTGGCAAATTAAGTGTTTGCCTTTTTTGGGGGGGATGCTTGCCAACACTCGGCCCAAAGCTAGCAACTTCTGTTTTGGGTTGTTTCTTAGAGGGAAACCAAAACGAAAAAACCCGTTTTCGAGTGCCCCAGTTTCACACATATCCATCTTTGGGTGAATTTTCATGGGTCGCATCATGTCCCATACCCTACAATGGCGATCTTTTAAGTGAGGATTTGGGAGGGGGGTCTTGTTATGGCACGTTGTTGTCTTATTTGAAGGGAAACCCTTGCCATTTTCAACTACCACACGGCCACTAAAAAAAATTGGGCTCCCACTGGCCGGGGATACGCCCGTCGGGCCTCATTGCCGTCCCGGACCCTTTGGCAACCTAGGGGATTTGGGGGTGTCGTTTTTTCATGGACCTCCTTTGGCTAGCTAAAAACAAACAGGAAAAAACGCAAAACAAAACAAGAAAGAAGCAAAACAAAGGGAAACCACTGCCAGGTTCATCAACTGATCAACTGAGGCGTCCCACTCACTTCTCACGAAACCGCGCCTCGTTGCCGTCCTGGCCATCCCCGAAGCAGAAGCCGCCCAGGTGCCAGGAGCTGTTGGCCTCCCGCTGTCGACCCCGGAGCTTTTGTGAGTGCTCTACCAAGGATTTGTAGATATCCGGAGTGCCAATCTAATTTAGGGATTTCCAGCGATCCACCTCACTAAGGTTCTGGTTTGCGCCCCTGAGAAACGCACGAAGGTTCCATTTTGGGTGGTCCCTTAATTCAGCAGGGATCCTTACATTATACACCTGAACATTGCAACTTATAAATGGTGGTGTCCCTTTAGTTTGGTGTTGAAAAAGCCATGTTTCAAATGGGCAAAACGTATCTTTTAAGGAGCCCTGTTCTACATAGTACCGAAAGGTTGATAGTATCTGGCGACAGTAGATCGATCATACGACTCTGGACAGAATCGTTGGAGCCGCTCACAACTAAAGGTGTAACTCTTTCTAAGCGTGTGTCTAGAAAAAGTGAGACATACAAATATGTATGCCAATGTACCCACACATTAACATTAGATGTACACAAAAACACGTATATCTTCATGTGTGAAAGTGTGGTTGCATATACAGTGCATGTATGTATGTATGTATGTATGTATGTATGTATGTATGTATGTATGTATGTATGTATGTATGTATGTATGTATGTATGTATGTATGTATGTATGTATGTATGTATGTATGTATCTATGTATGTATGTATGTATGTACGTACGCACGTATGTATGTATGCATGCATGCATGCATGCATGCATGTATGGAAGTATGTATGGAAGTATGTATGCCGGTGAGTAGGCGTGTAGGCGTGTATGTCTGTATGTGTATGTGTGTATGTCTGTCTGTCTGTCTGTCTGTCTGTCTCTCTGTCTGTCTGTCTGTCTGTCTGTCTGTCTGTCTGTCTGTCTGTCTGTCCGTCTGTATGTATGTATGCTATGTATGTATGTCTGTCTGTCTGTCTGTCTGTCTGTCTGTCTGTCTGTCTGTCTGTCTGTCTGTCTGTCTGTCTGTCTGTCTGTCTGTCTGTCTGTCTGTCTGTCTGTCTGGCTGTCTGTCTGTCTGTCCGTCCGTGTGTCTGTCTGTCTGTCTGTCTGTCTCTGTATGTATGTACGTATGCTGTGTCTCATTCAGAAAAGCTCGAAAACAGCACAAACTAAATCGGAAAGAAGAAACAAAAAATGTTGGGGAACTTGAGGGCTGACTAGAAATGAAGATTATCAACATAGTTGTGTGGGGAATCTTCAATATTTGATCTAGTGTTACAACCAAAACTAAACTTCAAGGTTTTACAACTCTTGAGAAATTGTCGGGGCCCTGAGGGCTGGCCAGAATTGTCTATCTGGAAAAAGTGGGTCAGGAGAATCGTCAATCTTCGATCCATGAATCATAATCATGACCAATGCTGCAAACACTTTAAAGGGAGTCTGTATATGCAGTGCGCAGGAGAAAAAACAACGAAAAACAGAGCGTGGAACTGAGCCACAATCAAAGGCCGGTATTAACATGGTGGAATTTATGGCTGGGATTGTCCCTTACTACCGTCCAATTACCCGGGTTGTGATTGTGACTTGGGCCAAAGTTGCTGCTTTTTGTCCCTGTGCATGTTTTGAACCATTTTGATGTCAAAGTGTGTGTGTGTGTGTGTGGTGTCCTTGGCATCTGCTGGGGCTGTTGCAATTCAAAACCGTGATCGGCGTTGTCCCTGTGTGTGTTTTAAAGCAATACATTTGGCTCTCTCCCCTGTCTCCCCTCTCTCTCATTGTGCGATATTTCAAATCTATGCAGTTGATTCTACGATGACCCCTTGTTCAGCATTAAGAAACAAGGTATGTGTTCAGAGCTTGCTTGGACAAAGTCAAACACCACAACGCTCGCAGGGCCACGCTGCTTGACCCTGCCGAATTCATATGATAAGCAGAGTCTGTGCGTGGTTTTGAGAGTCTGTGCGGGCAGTTCATCAGTCAAGGATTGTTCGGCACAGTTGTGTCAGCAAAACAAGCTCAAACTTCGGACACACTATGCAAGTGTATGAATAACAGCAGCAGAAGATGGCAGCAGATTAGCAAAAGGTAGGGCTGGGGGGGAGTGATCCTGTGGCTGATCATGTGTATGTGTGCATATGTATGTGTATATGTATATATATATATGTAGATGCAAGTGTATGTATACGTATGTGCATGTGTTTATATGTCTGCACTTATTGATCTGCATGTGTGTGTGAGTGTATGTAAGTACATATGCAGCATGCATCTGTGTATATGCGTGTATGTGTGTGTGTGTGCGAGTATGTGTGTCTGAGTGTGTATACGTGTGTATGTGTGTATGTATATGTGTCTGCATGTGTCTGTGATTGTCTGGATGTGTCTGCATGTTTCTGCTGTCTGCCAGTCTGTCCGTCTGTCTGTCTGTCGGTCGGTCGGTCGGTCGGTCGGTTTGTCGGTCTGTCGGTCTGTTGGTCTGTCGGTCTGTCGGTCTGTCGGTCTGTCGGTCTGTCGGTCTGTCGGTCTGTCGGTCTGTCGGTCTGTCGGTGTCTGTCGGTCTGTCGGTCTGTCGGTCTGTCGGTCTGGCGGTCTGGCGGTCTGGCGGTCTGTCGGTCTGTCGGTCTGTCGGTTTGTCTGTCTGTATGAGTAGCTGCATGTGTGCATGCTGCAAGGTGCGTGTGGAAAGGTATGTGTGTATATGCATGTGCGTGCGTACGTCAGTGTGGGTGTGGAAAGGTATGTGTGTATGTGCATGTGCATGTGCATGTGTATGTAGGTGATGTATAGGTACATTTGTGTATGTATCTGTATCTGTATATCTGTATGTATATAATTTAGGTTAGTATTTGCTACCAAGGCATACACCCCAAAAAAAGACTCTGGCCTGCAGGTCGACTTCTGCCTTCAATCCGGGATTCAGCTTGCCTCGAGTCGAGCGGCTTCCATGCCGGGGGAATGGTCCAAGTGGCTCCTCACTTGGGATTCCATGAGTCACAATCAAAGCCCGGTACAAGAATGGTCGACCCAGAACCATGTAAAGAACAAAGAAGGCCGTCGCTTTATGGCTGGGATCGCCCCTTACTAACCTGCCCTTACCCGGGTTTTGATTGTGGCTCACATGCTATCCAAGCATCTGAAAGATGCGGCTGGGGCAGCAAGTGCCGGGGCAGCAAGCGCCAGAAGCAAAGCTGTCGCCATAGAACCGGGATGAGACACGGCTGAACGTGGGCTGGATAAAGAGGCTGCGGGCTCGTCTCAGGCTCGTCCTGGCCGCGCATATGATGGATCTAGCTGGGCCCAGTACTATCTATCATTTCCAAAGCAAAATAAGGGAACCCCGCCAACCAAGGACCTTCACCCTAATGGGTGAAGTTGCCTAACCTCGGTGAGCTCAACTGCGCAGTTTCCCCCACCCCACTCGCCCACTCGCCGAGCGCAACGCCACAGTGTTTTGGCGCGCGAAAAATCCAGCCATGAGAGTGTTGGGCATGGCGTTGAGCTCCTGTCCCGAAAAATCCATGTGATTGGGCGGTATGGGGGGGGGGGGGGGGGTTGAGGAAGGGCGTACCAACACCTTGGGGCCGGTGTGAAACAAGGAAACGCCACAAGCTGAAGGCGCCCTTTGGGCTTATTTTAATGTTGACCCAGGATTAATAAACCCGTCCCATTATTAGGTGTCTTCCCTCCAAGAGTGATGAATCTCCACTGAAAGGGGACACCCCCTATTACCTATTAACCAACCAGGGGTTTATTTATCCGGGGTTAACATTAGAGGGAACCTCCCCTTGAAACGAAGCCACCCCTCGCGCGTGTTGGGCTTCTGCAGTTTCCTAACGTGGGCCAACCCTGGCCACGGAACGGATTCTCAGCAGACTATCGGAAGAAACAAAAAAAGAAAAGCACCCTTGAAATGTGTTCATTGTCAGGCAATGCTCAGACTAGTGGTCTGCATGGAAACAAGGCGATTTAGCGCCAGTTCAAAATTGGGAAAATCCTTTTCGCAAACGATTTTTGCGGAAGGGGTTCGAAAGTGCGTACAAACCGGAATCCAGGTCCAAGTCTAGGTCCCCCAACCCACAAAAACTTCACCTCTACCCAAAAGCCCCCCTTCGAGAACCCGAAAACGACCACCTCTGGGTTTGTCTCTGGACATGTTGGTTCTTTAACAAAAGCGTTGAAACCTCAGAACCGCCCGCCGCATTCCCGGAACCTCCTCAGAATCCGGGAATGCATCCCCGGAACCCTCGAACCCTACCGTGGAGCCGCCCCACACCACCCGGAAACCTATCTGCGCAAAGACCCCAGCTGTGGGGGAAAAACAAAGAACAAAACGGATACCCTCAACAAATACCCCGACCAAAAGTCCGCCAATTCTTTACCAGCCCCAAGTTGATGCCCTTGGCCTCAAGAAATGACACCCCTGTGAGTTGGTAAGGTTAAGCTGAAGACCCGAAATGAACATCAAAATTCGGCAATCGGGCTAACCACAAACCAGCAAAAGAGGTGGTGCCCTTGTTTAAGCTTCACCGACATCCAACTTCGGAAGGCACATTCAAGTAACCACCAACACTGGTTGGTGAGGTGGTGCCAAATTCGGAAGGGGACTTCATTGCCACGTTTTTGCGAAAAGTCCTGCAGCATGAGCACCGCGGGCCCCGGCTGCAGGGCGGCCTCGCAGCCGTAGAGCGCCGCTTGCCTGAGGCCGCGCTCGAAGGCGAAGGGAGCGCGACTCATAGAATTTGCCCTTCGGCCAACCAAACACACCGCCCCCCCCCCCAACCCGCCTCCAAAAGTTGTCGTTTTAGTCGTTTGCACCGGTGTGTGTTGAGGGCGGGGAGGGGGGGGTTGTTTGGGAATTCCGGCTCAGAGGGGGGGGGGACCAGGAGGAGTTCGAAACCCCAAGGGCGGGGTGTTGGAAATAATTAGACCCTTTGGTGGTCATGGTAGTAACGCTCAACTTTGTTGGGTTACCAAAACGACCAGCCCAAACCCTCAAACAAATACAGACCCATGGTTTGTAAACATGGGTACAGTGTTCCACACGGCTGGCTGCAGTCCTACGCATTCTCATTTGACATCAGCATTGAGGTTCGTGGTCATGGTGCCCTTACCTTTGCAATGGTCTAACATGGATGCACCAAATCCGAAACAGCGGCACCTGCGAACGAACCCCGAGCAATGCTGGGATAAGCCACCCAAGCGGGACTGGCTGGAGACACACCCAGCGGCTCGAGGCTCTTGCCCCCTCAACCGAAACAACTTTCGGCCGAGGCGCTGGGTGATGGCTGTCACGGGCAAGCGCCGCGCCTCCACCTTCCGCTGCAACCCCAGCGGAGTTCCACCAGCAGATCGACCGATCCCGGAGATTTGACATCGGAAAGGCTGGTTTTAAGGTGCCAGACAGCTGGTGTTGGGCAACAAACACAGGAAAAACACCAGTAAACAAAGCTGTGGTTCTTGTTTCAAACCAGTAAGAACTGGACTTGGATCGCCAATGTCTGGTCGAACTGGCGGTTTGGCTCACATTTTACCCTCAACGCTGGTGAATGGAAGAACAGAACCCACCCTGGAGTTCCACGCTTTCCGGCGCAACTAGCAACTTGAAGTGCCCCTACAATCGGTAGTTCCTTTAATCTGCTCAGCCAAAAGCAAACATGTGAGGATTTCACGTCCATTCACGGTAAGCCCCAAAATCCCCCCCAAACCAATTTTGATGGGTTACTTTACCTATGTTTGGACGAACCACTGCCAGACGGAGCCCCAAAATCGCCCCTCTCTCCCCCCAACCCATTTTGGGGGGTTATCCTATTTTTCCCATGGGTCAAAATCCAAATCGTCCCCCCAGCGAACATCCCAATGCCCTCTAAAATAGGTTCTAAAATGGGTGGTGGATTCACCTACCAACCATGGTATCATTGGTTGTGACCCACAGCCATGTCGATGGGTTAGCAACGTGGAGCCCCAAACCCCCCACCCGACGCCTCGTGGAGCACCCGCAAAGCCCAGGGCCACGCCGCCGCGCGGCCGCAGGCCACCACGCCGCAGTTGGCGGCCCGGGCCGCGTCGGGCCCCAAGGCAGCTGGCGCCAGGGCACGGCGCAGGGAAGGGGACAGGGCCAAAAAGGGGAAGCACCAGGCCAGAGGGAAACATCAGCCGGCCGGCAAGAGACGATTCTTCTCTTTTACTCCTTCACATATCTGCACCAGCCAACAACGATAGCATGAAACACCGAACTCGACGGGTCGGGCATCCCTGGTTTCAACCCGCTGAACGGCGACTTGCAACGATATGTATCTAAGAACCCAGCAATGAAGGAAATGCAGCAAGAAATGTTTGCTTTTGATAGGCGTTTGGCCAACTTCCTGCAAAAATCCTGTAGAAATGCGGTTCTTTCTCTGATGGCCGCTACCCACTTCCTACCCTGTCCCTACCACCATGCACGCCCGAGAGCACCTGGCGAAGGCAAGAAGCCCCGGTTCCTCTGGTCCAGGGAAAATCCCCTAGATGGTTCATTGATCGGGCGTGAGAGTCACAATCAAAACATATGGTATGTATTACAATGGTCGTAATCCCAGAACCATGCTTCAAGAATTAAGAAGACGGCCACAGCTATTTATGGTTGGGATTGTCCCTTAATAACCTTCATCTACCCGGGTTTTGATTGTGGCTCACTTGAACACAAAAGCAAGCAATTTGCTTCCCTGGCCCCCATTTTAAAGGGGAACCAAAGGGAGGTTTATTGCTGGTTTTAACATGTTCAAACAAGGGGGCCGTCCGCCCCCCTGTTTAAACATGCTTAAAAGCCGACTTTATAAACAATCTCCTTTCAGGTCCCTTTCAAGCTGGGGAGGGCCTGGTTGTTCAAACAAACTTTGCCCAACCCTGCTGTGTCTCTACACTAGCATGGACCTCCAAAAAACCCTCCCCAAAAATAAGGAGCTGAATCGCCCGATTCCCCGAAGCCTGGTGTCAATAGAGTTTGCCAACCCCAGCAAACAACCAACAAACAACCAACCAACCCCCCCCCCCCACCAACCCCCCCTCCCCCCCCACCAACCCCCCCTCCCCCCCACCAACCCCCCCTCCCCCCCCCGCCTTCCACCTCCAGCGCCCCAAAGGCGCCCAAGGCGCGCCGCCACTTGCCGCCCCACTCCAGGGCGCTGAGCAGCGCCAGCCGCGCCACGAAGCCGATCTGCAGCCGAAAAAAGATCCGGCCCCAAGAGGAAAACCCCAAAGAAAAAAACGTCACCTCCGTGGTTCCCATGGGGGGACCCCCTTTAAAGGAAAAGATCGGCTTAAAAAAAAAAAAAAACAAAAAAAAAAAAAAAAAAAAAACTCCATGGTTCAGAGCCCTGAGGAACATGGTCAGGACCCCCAAAAAAAAAACGTCCACAGCTCCGGAAGGGAGGCTATCCAGGTGTGATGGTTCAAGGGACAAGTTGTTATACCCAGCCCTGGTTGGAGAGTCTGACAGAGGGGAAGGGAAAAGTTGTTATGAGCGATAGAGAGACAAATGGCGTCTGGATCCTGCAGGATTTGCTTCCCAAGAAAATCCTTTTGCCGAAAGCGAGCGAGATCCTGGGGAGCTGTTGGGAGGTTTAAAACCGCCAAACAACTGGGACACCCTGGAAATATACGTGGGCAAATGGGGGAAACATGGCGGAAATATAATGGAAATGTAGAAATCTCCGGGAAACCCTGGCCAAAATGGGGGAAACATAGGGGAAATATAGGGGAAAGATGGTGAGTCATGAGGCCTGTCGCCTTTCGCGCCGCTTTTCCGCTGCCGCGCCTCCAGCCTTCTCCGCGCCCAGCGCTGCAGCTGCAGCGCGCAGCGCCACTGCTCCCGGCAGGCGCCCAGCGCGGCCCCGAGGCCCACGGCGTTGCCGCGCAGCGCCGAAGTGGCGCCTGTGCAAGGCGCGCGCCACGGGCGGTGGTCTCGCGCCCCCGTTGAACGCCCGGGGGAGGGGGGGGGAAGTGGGTTAGGGTTTGGGTTGGGGATTAGGGGGTGGCTTTGTTCATGGGTTAACATTAGGATCTCTGGGGTGCCTCAGGATGTTCCAAGAGTTTTGCTACGGGATTGCGCAATCTCAGAGGAAAATCGCCCTATTCTGGCCGATTTCCGGATAAAACCTGGCTCTCTCTTTTTTTCTCTTCAGGGTCATTTCCAGGCTGATTGATGACCCCCAGAAAGGATCGAAATACTTTAAGAGCATGGGGTTGCGGAGTATGCGTGACAAACACACTTGGGGCCAAACCAAGTAGGATCTTTGACCATCTCCTGACCCCAAGTAAGCGATGTTTGTCGGTTGACTACAGGACGCGTGGCTTCCTTTGAAGCAACCAAAGCAAACTGCAACCTTAAATCCCCACATCCCCGTTGGGCAGCTGGGATTTTTCTTGGGAGCAGGCTTGATACATCCGTCGTTCACATCAACATATCTGACAAAAAGGCCGACTCTGTCAGCATTAGCCCAGACATGGCCGAAGCATGCCTCTCTGCCAAAAATCCAACGGGCCAAGACTATCAGAGAGTTCATGCTTACAGTGCACAAGTCGCTTGGCTTGGCAGTTTTGACTGCAGCCCTCTTGGCAACCCAATGCTGAGACGGCCAGGGGTGCAAATATCTTGGAAAAATGGATGGCATGTCTTAATCATGACAACCAAACACTGGGCAAAAGCCGAAGAGCCAGATGGGACCGTTGCCTGTGGCGGCTCTTCTTGGCGTGCCATTTCCTTTTTCATCCAACTGACCAGAAAATTGGCATTTGGCTCTACTTAGGCAGGCATGCATGTATGTATGTATGTGTGTGCGTAGGTAGGTAGGTAGGTATGTAGCTAAGTGGGCATGTAGGTATGTATGTAGGTAGGTATGTATGTATGTATGTAAGTAGGTATGTAGGTAGGTAAGTTTGAATGTACGTACGTACGTATTCAATGTGTGTATGTATGTATGTATGTACGTATTTATGTATGTATGTATGTATGTATGTAGGTAGGTAGGTAGGTAGGTAGTGTGTGTGTGTGTGTGTCTGTGTATGTGTCTGTGTATGTGTATGTGTATGTGTATGTGTGTGTGTGAATGTGTATGCGCATGTGCATGTGCATGTGCATGTGCATGTGCATGTGCATGTGTATGTGTATGTGTATGTTTGTATGTGTGTATGTGAGTATGTGTGTGTATGTGTGTATGCGTGTATGTATGTGTGTGTGTGTATGTGTATGTGTATGTGTATGCGTATGTGTATGTGTATGTGTATGTGTGTGTGTGTATGTGTATGTGTATGTGTATGTGTATATGTATGTGTATGTATATGTATATGTATGTATGTGTGTATATGTGTATGCATATGTGTATGTATATGTGTATGTATATGTGTATGTATATGTGTATGTATGTGTATATGTATATGTATATGTATATGTATATGTATATGTATGTATAGTATATGTATGTATATGTATGTATATGTATGTATATGTATGTATATGTATGTATATGTATGTATATGTATGTATATGTATGTATGTATATGCATGTATGTATGTATATGTCTATGTCTATGTCTATGTCTATGTCTATGTATATGTATATGTATATGTATAGGTATATGTATATGTATATGTATGTATGTATTCATGCATGCATGCATGCATGTATGTATGTATGGATGGTAATGTAATGTAATGTAATGTAATGTAATGTAATGTAATGTAATGTATTGTATTGTAGCGTATTGTATTGTATTGTATTGTATTGTATTGTGATGTATGTAGGTAGGTAGGTATCTGGATAGGTAGGTAGGTATGCATGCATGCAATACACATACATAGAGGATCTGACTGGAAAAAGCACTACACCAGGGAGAAGAGACACCTCTAAAACAGCCAGGGGAGCACTGCTCAAATACAGAATGGTCAATATGGTTTTCACTCACCGTCAACGAGGAAAAACACCGGGAGGGTAGCCTCACCCCGAAGTGGCCCGTGTCTGTAAATCCACGTGGGTATGATTCTTGAGGGTACCCTTTTTGTGGTTGTAGATGGAAATCAAGCAAATGCCAACCAGTTCAGCGGGTCGCAAACAGAGGACATACCCACATCTACCTTTCGCCATGCGCCCTCGACCGTGACAAACTAATGTATTTTTGAGTGGTTGCACAACTGGTGGCGTTTCAATGGGAAGCTGGGAAGCCTTTCAGATGCTTGAGGGGAACCTTCTGCTTTATTTCGCTTGTCTGGCCCCCCAAAAGAAAAACGAAACATGCTGGTTTTAGACACACCTCATCTGCTTCCTGATTCGTGTGGATGGGTGGCTTTCGGTGTTTCCATCTGGATTCCTGCGAAGCTGCGGACCAAACACAATTCCCCCCCCCCAAAACAAAAACAAAACAGGACCCGCACCCCCATCCCCAAAAAAAACAAAACACAGATCCCCACACGGATTCCCCTCGCACCTCCGACGCCCACCGTCGGATCCCCGGAAACCCCAACGAAGGCGGGGCCTTGCTGCAGCAGGTACAGAGCTCCCGGCCAGTCTCCGGAGCTCCTTGGCTCGCCAGCCGCCGTCGAAGAGCCGTCCGTGGAGAAACGCGGCCGGCCGAAGGCTTCTCCGGCCGCGTCGCTTTTTTGTTTCCCCACAAAAAAGAAATGCGGCTGGAGAAAAAAAAATAGAAGAGCGCGGGTCAAATTGGGGGGATATGAATGAGATGTGCAATGGGTTTGGTGGGTTTTCTGATCGTTCCGTGTTGAAACTAGACCAAAAGAAGACCAGCTCCCAAAAACGACGCGCCCAATCCGAACTGCGCCTTTGCGAGGCCCAAAGACACAGATCCCAATCCCCACTAAAATAGACTACAATGGGTGGTGCACCTGCCCCAAAGTGGTACCATTGGCTTTGACCCACAGCCACATTTTGTGGGAGGCATTTTGATGGGCATTTTGATGGGCATGTTGATAGCCACTCATCTTGAGGATGATCTCTGAGGATTACACTGGACACTTCGGAGCCGGAATTCCACAAGTGACCCGGCCTGTGGCCTGACGCTGACGAGGCTGACGCGATGACCAATGGTTAATTTTGCAAGCACCTTATCCAATGAAACACCTGAAAACATGTGGTGAAGAAAGCCAACCAAACATGTCCGGTGTGGCTTAGGGGTCGTCTGCGTCCCAAAACTGGTAGCGAAACAATTCCGGGTCAGTGGAGTTTGGGTTTCTAAAGAGTTTCAAAGCTTGGGGAACAAACAGGGACTGGAAAGATGAAAGATAGGTGGGAGGAAAACACTTTTCCCAGGTTGGTCGAATCCAAATCTTCCCCAATCTTCCTCAACCCCTTCGTGTGCCCCGTAGAGCCCCGCGTGCCCAGCCGTGATCTGGGCAACGCTTTGGGGATTCAATGGACATGGTCTGGGAAACCGCGAATCCCAAAGAAAGGACACCCTGAGGTTCATAGTCAGCCCCTGAAGAAAAACCCAAAGCCAACGGGTGCAGAGGTACAAGCGTTTTTAGTCTATAAGGGCCTAAACGGTGTGAAGCATGAGGGGGTGTTGGTGGATTTCAACCCAAAGCCAAAACATGATCTTAAGAAAATAATGCGTAGCTCTGTCTATATATCTATATATACATATACATGTGCGTGTGTCTGTGTGTTTGAGTGTAACATTGTTGCCTCTTATGCTAGCTCCACTGTCAAGCAACTACGTCGACGATCTCGGCCCAAGGCTCCCCTGTGCGCTCTGGCAGCTGCTAAAGCCCACCACGTCCACCTGGACGCTGTGCGGCTTTGACACAAACTATAACATGTTCAAGCCAAAGGAAAGCAAAGGAAACCAAAGGAAACCAAAAGGAAACCAAAAGGGTTCGGGACGGAAATCTGAAAGCAAAAACCGATTTGGGGCTTCCGGCCAGACTTTTCCTCTTGGTAAATCCCATAATGAATGTCCTCTCGAGTCACGAAACGAGACGCACGCCGCGTGGTTTCACATGACAAGCACCCACCTCCAGGCCCGAATGCAGCAGCATCCGGGCTCGGCGCCAGGCCCCTCCTTTGTCGCAGGCGTCGATGCCTGCGACGCTTATGGCTCAAGAAGAAACTGGTGAACACAAGGGAAGCCAATAGGACGGCCTAAATGGTCAGAATAGGGTTGTGGGGTACTTGAAAGCCACATGATTGTCATGATTCTTGGAGAAAACTAAAATTACCCTCCAACATGGACGTGCACAAAAGGGCTTTGGAAGACTACCATCTTAAGAAGGTCCTCCACTGCCGCGATTGTTGAGAGTCAGCTTCCCTCTACTTGGTGGATTGAATCAAAAACTGAAACCTGCGGTTTTTCCCCAGCTCTTTCATCTTGAGCCACGCCCATGTCCCACAAAATGGAGGTCCATAGAACTCAAATCCTGGAGTCCTCGCCTACCATATCCTGCGTCCCAACAGGTCCGAAACAGCTCTCGAAAGCCTTCCCTCTCCTTTTTGAGAGTTGCCAGTCTTCCCCGTACCCCTCACTTTTTTCATGGGGGCAAGGCCTTATTAGGGGCTTAATAAGGGCTTACTTGGGCTCCCTCCCCCTCCCCTCCCCTCCAGCCCCCATGATTTTGTGGTGAAGTGTTTCTCCGTGCCCAAACCCGTTTGTCGGCGAAGTTTGTCGGAGAAGCTCTCCCCAGTTCTGCCCAATCCGGAGCTTCGCCACAGCTCGGTATCCGCTGCGGCCGCCGCAGAACGTTTGTTTTTGTTTTGTTTTTTCTCGGAACCAGAGGGCCGGTTTCTACTACCCCCAAATCAACCCCAGGGGGTTGGTAGGATATACAGCCGTTATATAGGCACTATGTAAAGGGCACTCTCCTCGAATGCTAGTGTTTTGGGGCTGGAAAACATCCAAAAGGATCCTATGCGAAAGCATGGACCTGCACTGGAGCGCTCGCTGAAAACCCCCTAGCTCACCACAGAAAGCCGGCATACTGGGTCCGGAACCCTCCCTGAAAACTTGCCCCAAACCACCCTTTCTCGCCTCTCTGGGGTTTGAGACCCCCCAAGTTGCTTCAGGGCGCGCCGCCCCATTTTTGCAGCTCATTCCCCCCCCCCCCCCCCCGGCAGGTGCACCAAACTCGCGCCTGCGTTCACGGCACTTTGGCCGTGCTCCCCGCGCAGCCGCACCAATGCCATCTCCTGCAGACGTCCCTCCGAACATGTGGGCAGCAAGACATCCTCGTTGTAGTGTCAACCGCATGTTCATCAACCATCCTTTTTATTGATAGGGGGTGTCCATTTCTGGGTTTAGCTGGGAATCAGACCACTTGTTAGAGGGGAACACCCCAAACATCCATTAACTGGGGTTGATTAATATGGGGTCCACATTCTTCTTCTCCAATGGGCTTAAAGAATTTCCCACGACACAAGTCTAATTTGAAGAACCTCAAAATGCAACACGGGACTCAGAAATACATGATAGCCAAAACCTGGTATGAAACGGGTCCCGGGTCCCAAAACCATGGAAAGAATCAAACGGGCGGTTGTGGTTTGCTTACCCTCCCGTCCACCAACATAGAACCTGATAGGGGGGTCTTGGAAGACTAGTTTAATTAGAAAAAAAAAACTGGTGGGTTCTACCTGGACAGAAGGGTTCCCGTGTGCTGATTGTCTCGCAGGGGAGAAGGCCTTGGACGCAAAAGTACCCACCACACATTTGAATCGATCGTCGGATCGGTGGAAGGGCTCTCCGGAGGTCCGTGTTGCTTTGAGGCGATGCAGTGTCCATAAAAAGGTGCTAGGGTTGTTCAAAGGAGATAGAAAGATCTAAGACACAAGCTCCAGGCAAAAAAACAACTGCTGCATGAAACGGGCGAGATCCCTTGCTTTGGCGCTTGGTCCATACATCCCGCTTGAATGGAACACTTGGCCCAGGTCTCCCCATCAACCCCCGGAATCCTTCCGGAATCCTTCCGGAACAAAGACCCGGAAGCTGCGGGTACCACAGAAACGCCGCATGAGTCGATCAAAAACCCGGCATCGAAATGGTCGATCCCTAGGACCATGCTTCAAGAAATGAGAAGCCGGAGATCCGCAACTCTTTTTCTGGCTGGGACTGGCCCTTACTAACCTTCATCTACCCGGGTTTTGATTGTGACTCACTTGTGAACAGAAGGGAAGCCAATAGGACTGAGACCTAAATAGTCAGAATAGTCACATGTAGGGTACTCTAAAGCCACATGGTTTTGATTGCACATGTTCAGATTCTGTTTGCTATTTCTTGGTTGCTGTTGACCCTCCTGCAAAAAGTTTCTCACTCTTTGGGGGTGTAGTGGAAAACCCAACTTGATTTCAACCAAAAAGTTAAAGTCTAAAGATCCAACCCAATAGCAGTTAAGATTTCGTCTCCGAGGCGCCCAAAGCGAGCGCTCGCTGAGGCAGCTGAGGATGGTGCTGGCGCTGCTGGTGTTGGGCTGCCACCTCTGCGCCTGGACCCGCTCGATGGAAGACATGCCGGTGCTCGGCAGGGAATCACCCTGGGTGTTGGGAAGTAACCTAGAGATTCCTAGAGATTCTCTTCAAGGGGAAACCATAGGGCATGGTCTATATCGGGGGTGCTGGGAATTTTACCTAGGGATTCCTAGAGATTCCCTTCAAGGGGAAAGCATAGGGGATGGTCTATATCGTGGGTGCTGGAATTTCCCTTAAAGCATAGGGGATGGTCTATATCGAGGGTCTGGACCCCCATCCCCGAGCCTCCCCACGGTACCGCGCCTTCTCAAAGAAAGCAAAAAAACACGGGAATATTGAGAGGGCACGATGGTGCTGGGAAAGCATGGTGCCCAATTTTACTGAGAAGTAGGTCATTGTTGGGGACTTGGTTTTCCCAGGCTCAGTGCCTTCTCAATGATTTGAAAAGGCACACTTTTCTGTGGGAGCCCGCAAAATCCATCCAGAGTCGCGATTTTCGGGGTGCTTCCCTCATTCCCTTTGGGATGAATCCTGTAAGGATCCCTGAAAACAACTACCACCTGGCATAAGAATTCATACCTCAATTTTGAATTTGAATGACCAAACTACTGGAGGCTTTCAAAAAAGCCTCATGCTCTCAAAATGGCAGACCCGTTGGATGGTTCCAGGGGGTCTATCTTGCACCCAACAACCTCAAAGTGGGCCGCCTACACCCAACTCTCTCTCCCTCTTCTTCGGGTATGATGTCAAGCCCTGACGCAAAAAAAGCGGCGAACACGGGCTTTGACAATACACCCTCGAAGGGTTGGTATCAATTTAGGGCCAAAGGGACCCAGCTAAACCGGCGGGAAGATGGGGATTGGGGGAGGAAGGCACGGTCCAGGGATTTGGTTTGTGGCAACAATGGGCTCGTCTTTCTTTGACTTGGTTGTGGCACCCCTTTGTTTGGTTGGTTTTGAAGGGAGACCAAAAGGAAACTAACCATTGTTTGCGGGGTTCGCGAAAAAAAGACAGACCCAAGTAGTCCCAACCCAAACAAAGTCCGGACGCTCTGGGAAGTGCGAGGAAGCATGCCCTCAAGCCAAAGGGAATCTTCCAAAACGCAGAAAAGGGAAAGTTCCCTTTACACATCCAATCAGGAACAAGCAAGTGCATGTCTTATTCAAGGGCCCTATTATCAAAAATATTCATACGTACATGCATATATTACATATATGTATATATATATATATGTTTTCTTTGGGGGGCACCCTTGTTCAGGTTGGCTTAAGGGAAACCAAAAGGCAAACCACCATTTTGTGGGGCCCCTTGTGTTGAGCAAGAACCATACGTACATGCGTGCGAGCGTGTGGGTGTGTGTGTGTGTATATGTACATATATATATATATATATATATATATGTATAATGATATGTATATATATATATATATATTCAAACATTTATTCATATGTACTGTTTATGCGTACACATATGTTTTTGCATATGGGTTTGTCACAGTCTCAAAATGAGGCGGATGAATTGAAAAACCAAAGCCCGGGTGGTATCCCCAACAGCCCGGGAACCCCCTGGAACCGAATCCCCTGCCCCAAACCACCCCTCCTCGCCTATCTGGGGCTTTAGACCCCAAATCGCTTTCAGCTTGGGGGGGGAAACGACATATATCCCATGTTGTTCAATGATGTTTTATATATATATATATAAGGGTATATATGCAACCCCCCCCCCAAAAAAAAAAAAATGTCTTTTGGTTTGTGAGACTTGTGAAAACAGTTACCATTTGGTCCGTGAGACTTGTGAAGACAGTTAGTCGCTTTCAGCTGCTGGGTGGAAAAACAGATATATCCATATATATATATATATATAGATAGATAGATAGATACCTACATATACATATGTACATATACATACACACACACATATTGTATCTCCCATTACAAAAAAAAAAAAAAACGAGACCTCCCTCTGCCTCCTCGCCTGCAGATTCCGCAGCGACGCCTGCGCCCGCTGCCAGGCTTGGGACGCCAGGAAGGCGTTCCCGCAGATGGGGTCCAAGCGGACACCTCACTCGAAATCCCAAAGGAAGCGGTCCCCAGCTTTTGGGTGGAAACTTTCGCTCGAACATCCGGGTGGGCGCCCCCGGTTTTCAGCTGAAAAAGGGGAGTCAAAAAAAAAAAAAGTTTGAGGGTGTCCTTAAAACATGGGGTAGGGGTAAAATAGATGGACATGAATTTGAATAGAGCTTTTGCACACCATTTAGGTGGGGATTTATTTTCATCAACCACTTCTGAAGTCGATCCCTCTTGAAAATCATAGCAAGATAGGCATGTGTGTGTGTGTGTTGTTGAGGGCACCCTGTGTAAGGTTGGTTTAAAGGGAAGCCAAAGGGGAAACCCCCATTTTGGGAGTGGCTATTTTGACACATGCATATTATCGGGAACGGGAGTCATAATCAAAACCTGCCTTGGTTTCCCTTTTGGGGACCAAGCCCAAAAAGGGAAAGGTACCCAAAACACCGAACACATGAGCCGCGGTCATGTTTCTCTGTTGCCCTACTAGACACTTCGCGAGCTACATGGAATCGTGTGAAATGTTTAGTCCCCGATGTGCCTGCCAAATGAACAAGAGACTAGCTGATACTTCGAAACTTTTTCTGTGGCCACAGGCAGGCTGAGCCGGTTTTGTTCCTCCGAAATATCGGTTTCTACTTTTGCAAGCCTCGGGTCATCGAGTTGTTTGAGTGTTGCAAAGAGATGCTTAAAACCTCATGGCGCCAATATGGTTGGCAACATCAACTTCGAGTCTATGAATAAGCCACTCCAAAAGAATCGGACATCACGAACTTGAAATGGATACTGCCCTGACATGGAACCCAAGAGGAAGCTCCTCTACGAATGCGTGTGGCAGTCGGTGTCTTTTGAGCTCCATGATAACGAGAGGAAGCTCTGAAAAGCCCGAAGCAAGCCAAAGGACTTGCTAAGACGCTTGGGTCCAAATGAACTTGGGACAAATCTCCCACGTCCTCCCCGTTTGAAGGGGGTCACCCCAAAAAAAAAACAACAACAAAAATGCGACTTCTTTCAAAATTATCCCAACCCCATCATGCCCTCCATGCTCGCGCTTGCCTGTCGCGAAGATGAGGCTTGAAAGGTGCAAGGCCTCCGGCCAGGCCTGCGCGAAGCGATTGCTCAACCAGGTTTCTCTTTCGAATCCTGCAAACGCGGCCGGAAGGTCTGTTTTTTGTTTTTGTTTTTTTTTACTTTTCCCCCCCGGTCGTTTTCGGCGAATTGCCAGTGCTTTGCTATGAAACCCCGAACTCCGAAATCCTACAGACAACGCGGCAGGAAGGACGGGGTGCACCAACCACGCTTCACAACAGCTTTCCGTACCATGACAGAATGTGCTCCAGCGACTCGGAATGATTGTTCTTACTACGGCACGAAGGTCTGGGTGTTTTTTTCGTCATTTTTTGGCGAACTGCCTGTGCTTTGAGATGTTCAGCCCCGAAAGCTCCTGGAACTCTCCGGAAAGTGGCCCCAAACCACCCCAAACCACGCCCACCCGGGATTTTAGACCCCAAATCGCTTCTAGCTGTTGGGGGGGGTCTCGAAAAATGGGACACCCTCACAAACCAAAGACCGCAATGTAAGGGACCGAATGGGACAAATCGCCGGAACCGAATCGGCAAGCTGCACGCATTCCGGACATTTGCTCGAAGGCCCCAAACACACAGCTCCTAAACACCTGGGAAACAGGGCTCCGATAGGATACATCCCACGGTGCTTTACAAGGACCTGAAACCTCAAAATCAGCTTGAGGCGGCTTCTTAAGTGTGCCAAATGTATAATTTGGCTTGCCTCTCGTTCACGTGCTTGGCGCGCAAGATCCTCAATAGGAAAGCAGGCTCACGAAAGTTGACATATATCCCCGCCTTTCAGGCGGATTGCAGAATCGACCTTCCTTCGTTTGGGCCTTCCTTCCTTCCTTCCTTCCTTCCTTCCTTCCTTCCTTCCTTCCTTCCTTCCTTCCGTTCACGTCTAAAACCGATTCCAGCTGAAGCGGCCAAACTCGATCTGGCTGAAGGCGCAACGTTCGACCTCACTTGCCCCGGCCATTCTTTGAGGATCTCAAGCGAGTCTATTGCTCTGTGCCTGCAACTGTGGATGTGTAGTGGGGAATCAGACCAATTCTGGGACGGGCCAAAACAACCACCCCCCCTAATCCACTGGGCTGGAAATTCATCTGGGCTCGACATTGCTCTGATTTTTGGACTGAACAAAAGCCAAGAGCTCAGATCGATCGATCGATCGATCTCCAGGCCCGGGAGGTGACAAAATGAAACCTGAGGCGCGCCTGCTGAGCTTTAGCGGACCAAAACAAATCAACTCAGAAACCAGAAAGTACAAAACACGTGGGCGTGGGTCAAACATATTCACCACCAGCAACCGCAGGCACCAATCTTGGGGCTGCCCAACTTTTGACAACCACACCCATGTAAGTGTGGACGATATGACTTGCTTCCCGTGGGGAAAATTGGGTGGCGCTACCCTCGGTGTTGGTTGACATTTCCGGCCTGGCCCGGCCCTTTCTCCTTCTCCCCGAAACCAACAATACCCCCTACTCCATTTGTTTTGGGCACAAGTTTATCAATCATAAGGTTTCCTCTGAGTAATGCTGGCTTTTGGGGTCAGGGCTTGCTTGATGCCGTGCTAAAGGAGCGAGCTGAGTCACAATCAAAACCCGGTATTCAAATGGTCTACCCAGAACCATGTAAAGAATTAAGAAGGCGGCCGCAACTATTTCTGGCTGGGAGTGCCCCTTACTAACCTTCATCTACCCGGGTTTTGATGGTGTCTCAGCTGCCTTTGCGGCTTCTCACGGGAGAAGCTTTGGGCCGCGCCTCTCTTTGGGCCAAACCGCTGAAGCACGCGCTGTAACCTGAGCGAAGGAGTGCAGGGCTGCTCAACATTGCGTTCTTCGAGGCGGTCTCCCTTCGAACCATCGAGGGCCAAAAAAAAAACCTTGAGGATGTCAGCTATCGTTTCCAGGCCCCTTTCAGCTATCAAGCCCAATCAGGCAACTTGAGACCAGCCGAGCTCCAGCTACAAACCTGAACCCACAAAAGGGGATCCGATCTACATCGCGGCTTGGCTGGTTTTCCCAAGATCGGCGGTTCCCATCGCACGCATTTTGCCCCAGAAAAATCCATGGACAGCAATGGCGGCCTTCCTTTTTATGCCGCGCTACTGATGCATCCGACGATACATAAGGGCCTGGAGCCCGACTGCTCATAACATACACGGTTGCAAGAAGACCAATGTGAAAGCAACCGTAGCCATAAGCATTACAATG